CTGAGACCAGGGTATATAAGAACTCTCTGTACCGGCTTCGTAATTCCTCCGTAAACCCAAAATTACTCCAAAATAAAAAAAATATACGTATTAAATAAAGTAAAATTAAGTTAAGAATTCAGCTCCTCGGCTGCACTGGACACATTTCACGCGTCCATTAGCCATGTGCCTAACGTTACCACAGCGGACAGCGTAGATACAGCACATTTCTGTTATCCCAGAAAGTTCTACTGGACCACACTGCTCTGCAGTGTCCTTTGTTTTACTCAGTGACGCATCCACGAAACTCCCAGAACCTTGTTTTTCACTCTGCCCATAAATCATTGCGTCCGCACTGCCTATTAAACCAGCCCAAGGATCATTTTTAATATTCGCAGCAGTTACTGAATAGAGTCTTTGCTGTTCTGTTTGGGTTACGCGGACCTCACCCAGAAGACCTGGCGTGAAACGCCTCTAGTCAAGCGTATGGGATAAACACAGCACCCGACGCTGGTGGTCTTAAAGGAGAAAGTGGAGGAGAAGTCCCCAGCCCAGTGCTGACACTTAAGCAGCACCCAGCATTCAAAGAGCGGAATCCCCTTTGTGGGGGGCACTGGGTGTGTTCCCAGATCTCGCTCTCCAGCTGGTAACCTGGCTGGGCTATGCTTCCGACCAACCTGCACTAAGAATTAAAAACGGCCACTGTCCACACGTGGTTTTTCAAACCCTCTCCACAAGCTACAACTCAGGAGTAAAACAGCCCCGTGGACTTCCTCAGCCTTCTGCCTCCACGAAGGGGCGGCTGCTTGGGCTGACCTTGGCTGGGTTCCTTTGGGGTTCCTGCAGAGATCCTTCCTGACCTGCTTTTCCATGTTCTTCTTCAGAAACGACCATACGGGATGTTTGTGGTCCATGAATGAGGTGTTTTCCACGCTGCTCTCACCCCCTACACCCCCCCCCCCCCCCCGCCGCAATCCCACCGCAATGCCCGTTGCTGCTTAACCAAGAGCAATCCTGACTCAGCCAAGTAGTGCCCGGCTGCTTTGAGAAGGCAGCTGAGCTGCCTTCCAACCACTGAGCTCAGGATGAAATCCCACCATCTTCCTATAGCTTGGGGGGCCCGGCAGGTTCTATCCCTGTTGACTGCTCTCCCCTCAACACCTACCACTCACCCCCTCGCCCCCCACCCACCCTCCAGCCACAATGGCCATGCCAGCGTCACTCCTGCCCCAGGGCCTTTGCACTGGCTGCTCCCTGGCCCAGTATACTTCACCACCGCCCTCCACACATACCCATCTTCTCACTGCGGCCATCCCTGACTCCCCAGTCCCACTCTATCCGACTTTAATGCCTTGCAAGGACAATCTGACATATTTCAGGTTTGCTTGTTTGCCAAGTCCCCTGCTAGAACTGTTCCTGGGAGCAGTTCCAAACACAGGTGTGGCTTGTCTGTGGTGCGATCCCAGGCCCCGAGAACAGCATCCGGCATAGTCTTTGAAGGCAAGGCTTGAAACCCCACCACTGCTGCATTTGCAGAAGCCCGAGTACAAGAGGGGCTGAGATCGGGGGCCTTGGGGTGGTGCCCAGGCGGGGAGTTGACAACCCCAGGAGCATGGGGGGGGGGGGGGGGGGACGGTTAAGCTCCAGCAACCTCATGTCCCCGCCGAGTCTTTCAACCTCCTGAAAGCTGCCTGCAAAACTGAATGAGAGAGTATCTGGAAAAAACCTAGTGCTCCCCGTAGAGAGAACTGCCCATGTGCCTCCTATTTCATTCTCCAGAGAAGTTTTGTTCAAAGGCTAGGAAAGAAGATGTCAAAACATCACGGAGGCTCCTACAGCCTCACGGATAAGGTTTCTTCCCTTCCATCCCCGAGCGTGGACACAGAGCGTGTCCGTGCCCCAGGGTGGAGAGAATCAAGAACCGTGAGCCACGGAGGGCTGGACAGGACCTGAGCCACGGCCTTTCTCCAGTCCCTTGCGCTGTAGTAAATGGGGCCAAACAAGGCCTGGCGAGAAGACGCGGGGTGCCCGACGACCCAGTCTGACCAGCCATCATTTCTAAATCTCAGTCTAAGAAGCCACAACCGGGGGCGACTGGGTGGCTCAGTCGTTAAGCGTCTGCCTTCGGCTCAGGTCATGGGATCGAGTCCCACATCGCGTTCCCCGCTCGGCGGGAGGCCCGCTTCTCCCTCTCCCACTCCCCCTGCTTGTGTTCCTGCTCTCGCTGTCTCTCTCTGTCAAATAAATAAATAAAATCTTAAAAAAAAAAAGAAGCCACAACCGGGAGAGGCACCCTGATGTCCGGTGCCACGGGGGAGGAAAACAAAGAGGCCTTTCCTTGAATGAGGGGTACATGCTGACTGCGGGATGTATCTGACTTCCAAGGAATCCATGAAAGGTGGGTCTCTGAGCCGGGGAACAAGGCTTCTGTGGATCATGTTGCTGCTTCTCATTTCTATGGGCCATGTGGTCTGTCACCCATCCCTTGAACGGTGCTGAACGGACGTTCTGAGTCACCCCAGGACAGAGCTACTTTGTTGGGGGGTGGGTATGCTGTCCGGGGCAATGCATCCCTGGCAAAATCACCCCCAGGGGTGAGAACCACTGTGCCAGGGGCAGGAAAACCTAACTAGTACGTACGGATGTTGCCGACCAACAAAAGGGCAGCAGGAAGCACCGAATCAAACAGGGTCTTCATCAGAATGCTGATGTGTCTGCGGCATCTCCAAAGGGCCGAAGGGCAGGCAGAACTTCCAACTGCACGAGGCTGCAAGGCCCTTTTTGGCAGAGAACTTGACAGACCTAGGTTCCCGCAGACTTGGGGACAGGTGTCCCAGCCCCCCACAGCTGGAGGCAGAGGAGGGCAGGTCGGTGACCACATGCCCGGTCCAACGCCTTGGCCCTCTTGACAATCCTCGTCGGTGGGTCTGACCCTCTCCGCCCATCTCCCCGCCCTTCTCAGCCCCCCTCAGAGCCCCAGCACCCAGCTCAGTGCTTGGTGGACAGGCGTCCCGTTGTGCTGCTCGGGTGAAGGCAGCAACCTGTCCCACTAGCCCCGAACCAACTCCTCCCAGCCCCCATTCTGGGGGGACGGCCCCCACACAGCACAGAGGGGACAGGCTGCTGCTGGGGAGGGGCTGCACCAGGGAGAGCGGGCTTGGGGAGGTGACCCCAATGTCGCAAAGGCGAGTTCCCCACCCAGCTCTCCCAGCCCCACCAGCCCGGTGCACGTGGCAGGCTGCGACAGGCCGTGGCAGCTCACGCCTGACACCTGCACACGCCTCCTCCGGCCTTTGCAGACCAACCGCTCTGGCCCCAAACAGCTGGGTTGTCTCCTTTCTGGTGTCTGGCTGGCCCGGAGCCAGCCAGGATAGAGGGCCACGCCTCGCTTTATTCATGCAGGCATCTCGGTTGCTAAAAAGAACAAAAACAAAAACCCAAGGACGACAACAGGGAAGGCAGTGTGCCCGGAATGGCCTGTCGTCCATACAACAGGCAGGCAGGCTGAATGGGCTCGGTTCTCGCAATGCAGGGCTCACCCTGTCCCTAGGGCATCACGAGCAAATGCCCCATTTCCCTCCCTCCCAAGAGGGTTCCTCTCTGTTTGAATTTTTTTTTTAATTTAAGTAAAAAAATTACACACACACACACACACACACACACACAAGATGTAAATAAAAACATTTAAAAAGCCTAGAACACCTGCTCGCCCCCTCTCCCGTGCCTCGGCTGATTGATTCTCCAGAGCTCTGTTTCTCTATTTTCCTACCATGTTGCTTTTTGAATTCTTCTGCTCTGGCAATTCTCATTTCCCAAAATCATATACTTGGATCATATAGCTTTATATTATATGGACCATACAATACACGTTGAGTTCTCAATGTATCAGCGGTAGAGAATGTCTGAAGACTCTTCTCTATGAAAGGCAGCCCTCTCTGCACCCGAGACCCTTCCTCTGATCCAAGGGTTAAAGGCTGCTTGTCCTCCCTACACCCGTCTGCACACGTGCTCATGCATTCACGCAGCCCCTCACTCGGTCATCCTTTTGGCTCTTCCCTTGGTCACCTGGGATGGGTTAGGTAAGCTCCGTAGACCTCCGATGACTTGGGGCCCCATGAAGGTTGTGCAGGCCCTCACCGCCCTCCACGTAAGCTGCTGCTTCTCCCCTCCCCTCCTGGGTGCCTCCCCGCCTCAGTCCAGCTACACCGGGCCACCAACGTGCAAATTCCAGGCCGCCACCGGAACCACGACTTCCGGGCTTTGGCACCCGGCTGATGCATAAAGTCCAAAGACCAACAAATGGGGTTCACGCCCCCTGCGATTGTGGAGACCATTCGTGAGTTCCCTCAACACTGAAGCCAGCCCGTGTCTGGGGACTGAGGATTCCATAGAAGTCAGGGGGAGAGGAAGTATCCACCCTCAGGGAGCATGCAGTCTAGTGTGGGAGAGCCACAAACGACGCGGGTGGGGGGGGATGTGCTCTGAGGGCTGGGATCCGGACCGATGGGTGAGGGCTCTACATCAACCTGCCTCCTGGGGTCTCAGAATAAAACCCCCACCCAGGATAGGAATGTCGACCTCAACCACCTCCACTTGATTGTCTTTGCAGATGGAGAACTTACGCCCTGACAACAAATCCCAAGTGCCTTCTAGAACATTCTACTTGAAAGCTGCCCCATAAAAATCTGCCTCCTTTAACTTTACTCTTTGAGGCATTCCGGGACTTTGCAGAGAAGTTCTGCCCCCACTTTGGGTACCCACACCAGCAGACAGGTTACGGCCCTGAGGCCTCACCTCACCTGGGCATCTTCGCTCCCTAAGCACCTGAAGGGAGTGAGGGTGAGCCATCAGGTTGCTGTCCAGGGAGAGCCCACCCTCCTAGCCCTCTAAACTGCTCCCTGCCTGGGTTTGGCCAGATCCCCAGCCACGTTCCAGACCCCAGAACCCAGAGTCTTGGCCTTTCCAGGGAAGGTGGGTGTGTGGTCCCTCCCGGTTGCCCCGAAGGAGTGAGTAGACCATACCTGTTGGAGGCAGAGAGCTCCTGTGAGGGCCAGGGCTGGCTGGAATCCCAGGAGAAGTGCTGGGACGTTCCCAGGTGGTCTCTGGTCAAAGAAAGAAACACAATCACTTGGAGACGCTCATAGGGCAGAACCAGGAAACGTAGAGACCTGGCCGGCCACCTCCCTGCCCAACCCCGGGAAGCAGGAGATGGCTTTCTGCCCCCACATCATTCCCCCCACCCCATGACTACACGGTTTCTCTTTACTGGGGGCCCTTCTCCATACAGCTGTGAGCAGGAGGAGGTGGCCTTGGGGCTGGGATCCTTGGAAACGTCCCCCATCACCCCCTCCAATCCCCCAAGGCTGCCAACTCACACACCTCCACGTCTGTCCCGTGCCCCTGAACCCCCAGCCTGCCAACTGGCCATTTCTCCCACGTGCCCACTATCACCTGAAACCCCCAAGCCAGAGGAAGGAGCCCTGGCCTGGGATCTATACAGAGACAAGAGGGGGTGGGGGTCCTCTGTCAAATGGGGGTGATTTCCCAAGTCCTTCCCGGCTCTACAGGCCCACGTCTTGTCTGAATTACAACTGCTGCATCAGACCAGCTGCCTCTCCCTCCCCAGATGCCCAGCTACACCTGCTGGCCAGGGAAAAAACTAATACCTGCAGCCACGTGCTCGCCCCCGAACGCGTTGTTAGCAATGTCATCCCTGCAAGCAGAGACTTCTTATAAAGTTATCCGGTGATAAAAACGATCCTTTCTCACTCTATACAATTTGACAATGTAGAAAGACACAGAGAAAAGAGCGGCATCTGGGGCACCTGGGTGGCTCAGTCGGTTGAGCGTCTGCCTTTGGCTCAGGTCTTGGTCCCGGGGTCCTGAGATCGAGTCCCGCATCGGGCTCCCTGCTCAGCGGGGAGCCTGCTTCTCCCTTCCCCTCTACCCCTGCTCGTGAGTGTGTGCTCTCGCTCGAGAAAGAGAAATACGAGATTACAGAGCAGCGCAAGGTTGATCAGAAAGCTGTGGACTCGCAAATTCTGCCAAAAATCAAAGCTGTTCCTCAGCTTCAGGGCTACCTCCGCTCTGTGTTTTCTCTCACAAATGGAGTTTACCCTCACAAATTGGTGTTCTAAATTTCTTACAAAGAACGTAATTAAATAACTGATCCATTTCAAAAAAAAAAAATTGGGTTTTTTTTTTTCTCTCACTCAAATAAATAAATAAAATCTTAGGAAGGAAGGAAGGGTACCATCCATAGTCCCACAGCTCAGAAGTCCTCACTATCAACACTTCGGTATCTTCAGCGATGTATTTTTGAGGCATGTATACATCTTTAAAATCATACTGTACTGGGCGCCTGGGTGGCTCAGTCATTAAAGCGTCTGCCTTAGGCTCAGGTCATGATCCCAGGGTCCTGGGATCGAGCCTCACAACGGGCTCCCTGCTCCGCGGGAAGCCTGCTTCTCCCTCACCCACTCCCCCTGCTTGTGTTCCTGCTCTCACTGTGTCTCTCTCTGTCAAATAAATAAAATCTTAAAAAAAAAAAAAAGAGGAGATCGATAATGGTATCCACTCAAGACAATCACTGTATTTGTGCCAAACACCCACATACAGTTATTTTTAGTGAGTCCATTACGTGGACATAACATTATTTAATCAAAAATTCTATTACTAAAATCTCGATGGTCTCAGATACTCAGAAAACAAAAATAAGCACAACTTTTCAATGGCCTCTCTCAACTAGCACTCAAGAGAACTGGGTTCCCGCCTCAGCTCTGCCTGTCATTTGCTGTGCAGCCCTGGGCAACTCACACGGCGTCTCTGGTCCTCTGATTCTTCATCCGAAATGAAAGGGTTGGGCTCACTGGTCTTTTTGGTCCCAACACTCCAGCCCTCCAGCTTTGATCGGTGGTCTTAGGACTCCAGGAATGACCAGAAGAGCAGGCTCAGTGGCTGCCGGTGGGAGGAGGAACCGGCGGGCTCACCCCAGAGCCCTGCTCTCCCTACAGGTCACACACACACAGGGACAATCCTTTGCTGGCTCCTCCTGAACCCAGCACACAGAATAATGTCCAAACCTCATAGCCCCTGCATCTGTCCAGAGTGACTTCCCACTCACTTCACTCCAGCACATTTGCTGGTCTCAGAACACGCCTTTGCTATACTCGCCCCCTGAGCCCCACCACCATCCCTGGATGGCAGAATCTTATTCATTAGTCAAGTCTGAACCAAAAGGCCTCTTCCACCATGCAGCCTTCCCAGACTGCGTTTCTCCCCTGCTGCCAAATGCCCCAACTTTCTAGAGTCATGCCAGGATGTCTCCAGCTGCAGAGGCTCCCAGCTGAGTCCCTCTCGGGGCGCACTGCCTGTGGCCAAAGGGAGCTAGGTGTCTTGCCCAAGGCTCTGCCTGGGGTGGGGGGTGGGGAGTGCTGCCCATCCAATAGCTGGTCAACATGGGGGGGGGAGGGTAAAAAGCCCACCAATCCCCCTCCAGTCTTCAAGGACAAACAGCCCCGTTCTCCTACACGTGGGAAAGGTCCCCAGGGAAACGTCCACTCTGTGTTGCTGCCTCCACGCCTTTGGTGGCTGAGGCCACCGACCTGATTTCAGAGTTCTGCCCCATCGGAGCCTGGGACAGTCGGCTGGGAGCAGGGCGGCAAACGCCTGCAAGGCTGGGCGATACAGGGGGTCTCTGAGGGACCACCAGCTCTTCCTAGCCCAGATGAAACTGAATTCTATGTGGGCAGGACCTGCACTCGTGGGTCTAAAGAAAAGAACACCACAGTGACTCCTGGCAGCAAATGGAGTAACCCTGGAGGGCTGCGGGAGGAGGTGACTCGCAGGACGTGAACAGTGGTGTGGCTCAGCTGCCCCTGTAGGGCCCCTTCACCTCCCCACTGTGAATCCTAATGACAGAGTAGGAGAGCCAATGTGGCATCGTGCGCCCGGGAGGCTGCAAGACGAGGGTCTGAGATCACAGGGAGGTGCAGGCTTGCAGTCAAGAAGGCCCCTTCTGTCTCACTGGCTGGCCGGGGTCACTTACAGGCCCCCCCCCCAGAAGCTGGAGCCCCTCCCTCCCACAAGAACCACAACTCTCAGGCCAAACTTCATTAGAGCGAGAGAACGGCCTGAAGGAGTCAGCCCAGCGCACCTCCTCATCCTGGCCAACCCGGGTCAACCCAAAACACAGGGCCAACCCAAAACACAGGGCCACCGCAAGCCTGAGGCAGGAAGGCAGCCGGGCCAGGCCAGGCAGGTGTCTGGAGCGAGCCACGGGGACTCTGGCTGAGTGACCTCACCAGCAGCAGGAAACATCACCCCAGATGACCGTACCACCCACAGGGAGGAAGCCATTTCTAGGCTTCTTCCAATAAAAGATCCCCTAATCTGTTTACAGCACACCAGGCTCCTTGACCAAGCAAAGCTGAAACAGCAGCTTGGGGCCTGATGGACCCTGGGTTCTAACCCTGGGGTTTCAGGTGGTTTCAGAAACACCCAGACTCCTCCTACGAGAGGCGTTGCCAGGCATGCCCCAAAGGCTGGGCGGGGGGGGGGGGGGGGCGCGGCTTGGCAAGGTCAGAGCGGAAGTGAGACGGGTTCTTGGAGAGACTGCCCATCCAACTCAATCCACGAAAAACACATTTTTTCCCCAATGGCAACCCCAACTCGTTCGGACCCCTTCGACTGAAACCAGAAAAAGCACACACACACAAATCAACTGGCCCAGGGAGGTTGCTCTCCTAGCCGTCGACACTCTGGGCCAGTGATTTTTAATTTCCCCATCAGTGGACAACAATGACTGCCATGGAGAATAAAACTCTCGGAGAAAGTATAGTGGAAAGGCGGACAGAGATGTAAGCCTGGGATTCAAAGCACAGGCGGCCCCTCCTTCTAATAATAATGATCATGATAATAATGCTAATAATAAACCAGGAAGTGAGACAGCAGTTATCAACCGTTTACACGGTTACTTCTGGACTTCATTGCCCTTGTTAAGACTATATCCTGCTTGCGTTAGAAATAGCGGCTTCCAAAGAAACAGTCCACAAAACCAAAAGACAACCGACAGAATGGGAGAAAATATTTGCAAATGACATATCAGATAAAGGGCTAGTATCCAAAATCTATAAAGAACTTATCAAACTCCACACCCAAAGAACAAATAATCCAATCAAGAAATGGGCAGAAGACATGAACAGACATTTCTCCAAAGAAGACATCCAAATGGCCAACAG